TTAAGTACAGTAACGAAGTATTTCTACTTCGTTACTATACACCACTGACAATGCTAAAGCAAGGACAAGCTCAATTAACAACACACAGAGGGAGAATGACTTCATTCACTGCCCAAAGGTAGATAGTTCTCCTCTACATATCTAGTTGTTTGCTGCTATAAGAATGCTCTGAAGACCTTGAGATGTATCGCAGAATAGGTGAAAACCTGGTGGTGGTGCTAGAGGATCAGAGAATTGCCAAAGTCACGAGGGTTCATCATCTGGGGATCTCGACCAAACGTCATGGCAAACCATCCATTGTTGTCAAGACGTGTCACTAAACCTAAAAAAATCAGATGAGCCCCATGTGCACTATGTCCTGTTGATGTCCACACAGAGGAGGAAGAGAGAGGCTCGGACAGAGAGACCTAAAGTGAGAATGTATTTTGTGAAAAGAGAGAGGGCTGAATGGAGGGAGGAGGCCGTCTATTGACACCACAGGTGCCTGCACTTCAAACGCAGCGTTCAACATAATGCCGTCCGGCTAAAAATAAATGAATTTGTCTGTATAGAGGGGAAAGGTAGCGTGTGTGCATTTTATTATGCAGCAGAGAAACACAATATCCCTGCTTATGCATGTGTGCTGCACTGTTGAAAGAATGCATGCATTTATTTGTTGTCATTTGAGAGGTCGTGTGTGTGTGTGTGTGTGTGTGTGTGTGGTGGTTCAAGATCAGATTAATCAACAAGTCTACCTGGACTCGGCCCACACACACACACACAACCACCTCAATGCCAGTCCGTCTAGCTGCTGAATTGTTAAACAATGTCTGACCCGCTGCATGTGTGCACCTCAGGGTCATGTAATGCTGACACCAGCAGTTTTTAAAATGTTCTGTTCATGACGGATTATTTCTGATTGATTCCTTTGGATTCTCTTGGTTTTCAAGGAAAAACACACCACCAGGCTTTCAGTGAATCAGTCAGTCAGCGGGCTGCAGCATAGCAGACATTCCTGCCGGGTGTAGTTAGGGAGTTGGAGAATGGCAACAATTGCCAAAAAAAATCAGTTGCTCTGTAGGGTGTTTTTTTTTTTTTTTTATGAGCAGTCCAATGTTGCTTGGCAGCAGGATTTGGACGGGATTGAACTGTGCAGCCACTATGCTCTCACGCTCCTTACAACACGATACCACGGATCAAGACGAGGCGGGGGAAAGTTATCTGATGACTTCCAGTGGCTTCGATTACCTTTCCTCCGAACCCCTCTAAATGATTTGCAGCGGTTATAGGTTGCAGATTTAACATCATCATTTACAAAAAGTACCCTTATTCTCACAACCGGACTGCCTGAGCAGCACCCCTGTTGCTTCAGAATGACCTCTAAACTGATTACTGTGTATTTCTAATAACTGCCACCATGTTTGTAATATTGCAAAACATATAAGGAGCTTTGCGGCACTTTACTTTTAAAAACACGGCTGTAGTTTAATCTGGGCCAGCTGTCTTACTGTCCCCCTGCTCCCAGTCTCTAAGCAATGCTAAGCTAAGCAGCAGCTGTTTTTAGCTTCACATTCAGCGCACAGACATGAGAGTGCTGTTCATCCTATCGTCTATGGCCATCAAAGCGAATGTGCACATTTCCCAAAATGTTCCACCCTCCCTTTAAAACACAGCAGCGTCTTCTTGTGTCCCGTCATCGAGGCCTTACACAGACTTTCGCTCAGAGAAACCAAAGAGTTGCTCACAGTTTACTTTAAATGATGGGTGTTTAGATGCCTGAAGAGGTGAAGGTATCTAGTATTTCATCACATAAAACAGGAACATTTTAAGAATTAAA